TCTTTGTAAATACACACAAAACAGAGAACAGCTTCAGAGTAGACCATCCCAACACAAGGTCTCTTTCTTGTAGGGCTGACAAAAATCCTGAGAACAAGAGGTCATGTTGTCCATTTCTGATGCCCTATGCACCCCAATTCCTAAAACAGAACAGAAGAAATCTTACCACTGGCAAAGGCTATGGAGTTACAATTAAAATTACTTTGCTATTGCTTCATGCTATCTTGGAAAAAAAATAGAATCATTTCTACTGTTCTTTGTTTTCCACCCAACAAGTCACTTTCCCCTTGGGAGGATGAAAAAACCAAAGATAGAGTTTACCACTTGGAGTATGGATCCTAGAGAAAGCAGTCCTTTGAACTGAGGCTTAGCTACTTTGACAGCCCAGCTTCACAATCTGCAAAAGGACTAAGCTTGCTGTCTTTTTCAAACCATTTGTCTTCCTTCTTACCCATATATATAAGCTGCAGTTTACTTGCCAATGTTTTGGGACTGGGTCCTGAATTAACTAGAATGTATTTTTCCTATCAAAGTTTTTCAAGGGAAGCAACAAAATCCAACATGCGGTCACTTAAACCCAGCAGTTTGGGTTTTGCTTGCAGAGAGTTGCCTGGAAAATGGTCGGCACCTGTGCTTCTGTCCTGCCTCTTTAAGCTCTCCCCCCACCCAGTACAGCAAGGTTGGTTATAAAAGCTGTGCTGAGGGGCAGTGGGTATGGTAGATGGGGAATGAAGTAGCATAAAATAACCATATTTTCTCTAGTAGTAGTAACATTGGGGAAAAGTGGAGTAGTGAATAATAGTTCATGATTGTGTGTGTTGTCTAGGGATTTGTGCTGTTTTTGGCTCCTTTGTGTCTTTTGAGTCCACCAAATTGGGTGTAGTTAAAAAGAACCTATGACACTAACCCATCAAAATGAATCTTTGTAGAGAGTAACTTGTTTCCTTAATTTTCTGAAGAAACTTTTCTGAGTAGGCATACCCATGGCTATGTTTTGCAACAAAGATAACCTAGGTTTGTTGTTAACTCAGATTCAAAATGGATATTTCTGCAGCTTTCTCCAAATCTAATCACTGCAGGTTAGAGATCTGTAGGGGACCACCATTGCACAAAGCAGAACGTATTCCACAATGTAATATTTAAAGCTTATCTTCAGAACAGACCATGGAAGGGCATTGACACCTAGTCTTTAGCAAGTTCATACTTTCAAGCTACAGGTAATCTTAAAAACTTGAGCCCAGACAAACTACTGTAGTTTATTAGAACTTCTAGAATGAGACTATAGATAAATGGATACCATTACAATCAATGGATAAATGGCATTTGTAGGAAACCACTCTGACACCACAAAATTTATCTTTTGCTATTCTGTTGATTATGTTTGTGTATTACAACTAAAAACTAGAGGAACAGCTATTTTTAGCTCAAAGAACTGGGTTAGGACCACACATATATTGGTTTGGTATTCTTAGCATGCTATATGGGCAGATGCCTTCTCAGTGGCAGAGAAAAGCAGGGGAGAAAGTAAATCTGCATGGTGAAATTAATGAACTCCACAAGACTGGAAGGCTGACACTGATTGGCTAGTTTTTGCAGGATGTAACTGATTACAAAATATTTCCTCAGGCTTAAATTATATAAAAGGCGTGCCTTTGTCTATCTGAAGATAATTCAAAGCATGATCTTTTTTATGCAAATCATGGATAGGGAATCAAATGTTTGCAAAAATGAGCAGATGGTAAGATTACGTATTCTAAAAGTTGTCTTTTTGCCTCAAACTCATGGCAAAAATGAAAGGGATATCATTACAAGGCTTGGCACATTTTTTGATGAGATACATAGTAGACCCAACAAAACTGGCCAGTTCTAAAGATAAATAGGATGGCCTGCAGACTAACAATACTTTATAATCTAGCAATAGTTTTTCCCATCCTCGTCAAGTTCTGGTTGTTTAAAGCCCATCTTAAATCTTTGGTCTATGTATCTTAAGTAACTAAAGCCAGGTTTTAATTTACAAAGGTATCTTTAAGAGAACAAGGCTACTGCTGGGTTTGTGATAACGAATGCTAGGATGGTTTCTGTTTGAAAGCAGCAGCAACAATAATGACACAAATTAATTGCAGAGATTTCAGAAAGATAATGCAACAGGTAAGAAGAAATCACCTTGTAATTACATGGTTTCAAATTAAAGGCCCCTGCAGTTACTGAAAAACATTAATTTATGGTAACTTGGTAATTTAACTTGTCACCACGCCACCACAGACATCTAGGGATAAGGACAGTTTAGGAATGCATCTAACATGAAGCTGGGACCCATTGCAGATGGGACTACTAGTTTTGATATATTAGCTTTTGATGATGAAATGATGCTTTCAAGTTTCAAAACTGAATTGATAAATGTTATTTTGCAAAGTAACTTATGATAATAGTTGTTACTTAGTGCCCAAAGTAGCTCAGTTCAGAGGAATGTCTTGTTCTGGGCTGCTATGGAATTGTTACAATAATCCAATAGTTTTAAACCTTCCATAAGCAAAATGGAAAGGATGTGTATTAATTGCTTATGTCATGGTTTGACTGGAAAAGTTCCACAGATGCTGATGTAACCATGTAATCTGAAAAGTGAAGGTTTGAAATGGCCCTTACAAGGATTAAACATTTGTTACTGGTTGGAATACTCTAAAAATTGTCTGCATGGACCCTGCTTTTGAAGGCCATTTGGAAACTATAGTTTGTCCAAAATGCCAAATCATCACTACAGCACATAATCCCGGTTTTAAAGACACTACACTGATTAGTAGTAGGTTTCCAGGAACAGTTCAAGCTGGTGTTTTAATCTATAAAACCATGTGTGGTTTAGAACCTACAGAATTAAAGGACTTACTTTTTGTCATAAAGGCTGCCTTTCTGATCCATTCAGTGTACGTGTCATTTTTTGTCTCCCAAGTCCATAAAATGGAGGAGTTACAGACCTAAAAAAACCAGAAGCCTTAATTTGTAGAATAGCCCCAATTTGAGATTAGATTAAGGAGGTTTCCGAAGACGGTTGTCCTGAAGGACATTTGTGGAATGAAGTTGGTTCAATTATATTGATCAGGAATCCTGATGATGATTGGTTAAAAGATACAAATGTTGAGATGGCAGAACTAAAGTTCAGGCCTCAGCAGGCCTTCGAAACTATGGAAAGTTCATAAGAAATCACAAGCCTGTGGGATAAGCATATAACCTAAACCACAGAAGGCATACGTATTTTATAACTTCCATACCTTATCTGTTATGTGTAAAAGGACAGTTAAAGAGGCCTTAGCAGTTTAGAAATGTGTAAATAGTTTTGTATTATACTGTAAAAAATCTGTGACTAAATGTAGAAACATTACCATTAACAGGCAATTTAAAATCCTCACTGGTAAAAACAGAACCCTCTTTCTGCCTCCCTCCAACTACTTACTTGGACATCCATATGGAAAATGCGTAAGTAAAAAATGAATAGATCCACAGAGCAATGCAAAGGCCATTTTCATCTTAAAAGCAGGAACAGCCAAGCACATTTAAATATGCAACCCCAAATATATTTTATGATGTAAATCAAGCTACAAAACTATGGAACTCTTCTGGTTCAAAAAAATACAGGATTGTCTTGCATGATTTCAAAGTATACTTAATCCAGCTCTTTTATTTCACCTTTTCTGTAAGATTTCCATTCACCAGCATTAGGCCTAATTTCAAGACATGTTCTTGTGCTAAACCTCTATAAACTTTTTTTTTTTTTGCCATTCATATAAAAAGTAATACAACTAGCTAGCTATTCAGTTAGTCAGCTCTGTCAGAATGTTAACGTTGGTTACACAAACATTTTACACAGCTTATTTCTTTAGAAAATGGAATGAAATCATCACTTCAAGGAGAAAATAATCACATTTTAAACCCAGTGTTTAAATGAAATGAAACCTTATGTATATAAGGGATCAGTTCTTTCAGAGATGCAAAAATTTCACAAAATCATATTGTAATATATCTGTATGTCGGCTGCTGGTGTCTCACCCCACAACTTTAATTTACGGTATATTTAAGACTTTTGACGTTAAGAGCATTGTTTGTATCCAACATTATAAGCTATAGTTTAACAGTAACAAAATGAGAAGAGGGAGCCAATATTATATTAAAAGTTCTTGTTAGATTCCAATTACAACTATAATGAGTAGTCATTATAAGATCATATTGTTAAATAATAACCTTTACTCACTCTTCAGCTTACAATTACACAAGCTTCACTGATAAAAAGTAAAAATACATTGGACCACAATGCTTGGCCTGGAATTTCATGATTACACCATTAAACATTATAGGGATTGACACAAAATAACACTAATATTTTGATTCCCTGGTTCTTTATGCACATTAAGCCTAGGTTTTTAATGATACATTCTAAGTATTGGTTTCCAACAAACTGTCTGCTTTTGCAAACTAGCCAATTCCTTTGTCTTAAATTAGTTAAAGGAGGATCAGTTGAATCACATCATGGTCCTTGGAATACTTCAATCCTAGGATCTCTCTTATCAAGTGTTATCAAAAATATTTTTAAAATATGCAGTGTACCTTAGTAGATAACCACATCGCAGTGAATCTTTTTAGAGTCAAGAATTGGTCTGAATTCAAAATAGAAATTGTGGAAAAGCTAGAAATATGAGAAAACTAGGCGAACGCATCAATATTTAACCATATCTCAAGCTTAGTATTGTTTTATTGCCATTATATTCATTACTAATAAAATAAGTTGCTATATACATTTTAAAATGTTTTAAAAGACCTACTCTTGATTCTGTGAGAACATATTCAATAGATTTGACGGATATTCAAGGAGAGAGTATCATTTCTCTTCAAATGCTACCATTTTCCTGAATCTGTTGGAGCAGGTGGATACAATACCAGAAGTGGTCACTTCAATACATATAAATGCTACCTGTTAGTAAAAGAATCATCCTAGCAGATTTTTTTTTACAGACGTGCATTCTTAGGACAAATGATCCCCAAAATGTCACCTGCAGTAGATATACTGCTTTAAGGAAAGTCATGCAGCTCAATGCTGATCTGCAAAGCAACACTATATAATGGCTGTATCAATGTATTTACTAAGAAATGCAGACTATAGGATTAGATACACTACAGTAGGTCGGACAGTTCAGAACTGACAACTAGTCCTAAAAGGTGTCAGAAGACCTTGATGCCCTTCTTGACTTTCTAATGCCCACGGGCCAGGAGGCATACCTGTTGCTATACACATAAGGTATATCCCTTTTTTTCTGCCGTGTGATGGCTCTGGCAAAAAGATATCTCTGCAGAAGCTTAGTGTATGGAAGATACTCTACATTTTTTGAAATGCACTAGAATGCGCCAAACTTGACTGTTATGATGAGCAAATTGTTAAGTACATCTTCAACACTGAGCATGGTAGGCCATCAACATTAATTAGCCTTCACAGTACAGATTCCCTTTAGTTTATTTCTTTAATCACCAGGAAAAGAACTACTGATTCCTAAGCTTTTTGAAATATTAACTACAAGTCTGTTTTTATTAATTGTATGCCAATAGATGCTTTGTCTGGTAAACCTTGTATTTTTATCAATTAAAGGGAATATTTAAATGCTTTACATTGTTCGTATGAAGAATTCCTCCTGTCCAATTTACTTTCTTTTCTTTCTTACCTAAACTAACAGACTTCAGACAGTTTGGGCTTAATATCCCCTGCTGGAAAGACTGATGATTCTAGTACATCAGACTTGAGTCGCCACTGAGTGTCCATTCTGTCATTTCCCAACTGAAGTGATGTACATTGTTATGCAAAGCAAAGACTACTGGGCAGTGGTGCCTAGTCTTAAATTCTAGGACTCTCTTTGCTGGGAGCCAGAAAACAAGTTTTCAACAACTGATCAGTGATGATAGTCCTTGGTAGTCTACTGCTTAATGCCACAAGTTTTTATTAATTACTTTTAATTATGATTTTTATGTTGTTGGCAGCCTCTAGTTAAGCCATTTTGTAACATCTGTGAAGACTGAGCATAAAAAAACATTTAAATGAATAAATAAAAATGTCCTCATAGCAAGACAAAGTCTTCATTATTAAAACACGCCAACTTTTTGTGTTCATCTTCAGAGAACATTGTCTTCTCTTCTTGGACTGGACTCGCCACAAAATCATAGTCTCTGGAATGTCCGTTTACAAAAGTAAACACGGGATATTTCTCTTTAGATGAGGATTTTAGAATCTACAGTGAAACGTATTGGAAAAAAGAACATGAATTAGAAGATCAACGCCAAGAGTGTAAGCATATCAGTTTGAAGCAAAATGCACAATTGTTTAAATCATCTCCCTTACAATTTTTTTTGTTTCTTCTCATGTTCCTCTTCAGAAAAGTGCACACTGTAAACCATATTTATAACGACAACACAGTCAACAAATATTTCCTATTAAAGTAACATTTAATCACTTCTTGGGCAAGGCAAAATTGAACTAACAATATTCTGACTCATATTTATTATTCTGCATCGGCTTTGGCGACTGCTAGAATTTTAATCATTTAAATTGCATAAATGATTTCAATATCTTATAAAACTACAGCATATTGGTCTACAGATAAAGTGCATAAGGATCTGGTAAAATCTATCTCGGAAAAATATTAATAGCAATATTAATCTGATGTATTGGGAAAAAAAGCAAACTATTCAAATGGGATAAAGCGTTTTAGAGAGAACCAGCAAGCTCCTGGAAAATTGTCTGAAGTAAATTCGGATTCCATGATATTTTATTGTGCTCTGTAGTTTTCAACTTTATTCTACGCTTCCTGAATTGTATCTTCCAGATAATCCAGAAAAGAAGTAGGATTGAGAAACAAGAAGAAAAAGGAGAATCAGAAAGGGACATCTGTAAGGTGGCAGTTCATGACAAATCATCTCAAGGGACATGATAATTAGGTAGAGACTTTTTATTGTTTGGCTACTGGATCAATTCAGCTCTCATCAATAACAAAAGTTCATGGCATTCTGATGCCTGCTTGGTAGCCTGTGAAATTAGCTGGCAGGCTAACTCCTCCTATTAATTGACAGGCGTCTTATAATTTGACAGCCACCACCAAGTAAGAATCTCACTACTACCTACTTTGCTCTTTGTTCAGGATAGCTGCCACATTACAGATCACTTAGCCAGACAATGTAAATTGAGCTTAGTCTAGCAATACAGCATTACATATTCTTTGAGTCACAAGACGAGGCTTCTACTTTCTGAAGTTAATTACACCATCCTATAAGTTAAATTTAAAGAAAATGTATGGCAACTTAGAACAGTGCAATATTACAGTAGCTATTTTGGGGAAAATAATTGTACTAATATTTCGCTCTCTCTATACTGACGAATCTTAAGATATGTGACAGCTGTATAAACCACTGGCGATCTGAAATTCATTTACCCAACAGAAACCACCTTCATGGCTTCTTTTTGACATTCTCCAAACTTTTGGCATATAGTTCTGGTTTTCTCTTGATTCAAAATATCCAAGCTACAACTTGGCTTTCAAAAATGAAGCAAAGAATGTGCCCTCCAGAAGAAGAACACGGCCCTAACTGTGGCTATGCTTTTAAGATAAACGCAGATCTAATTCCCCCCCACACTAGCAGAATATTTTTCTTTTTATTAAGGCATAATAAAATTAATAAAATTGAAGCTTAATAAAATTGAAGCTTTCTATATTCCTGATCAACAGTTGGTTTCTAATACCACTATTTTTCCCACACAGATGATTTTGGAATGAATTGTATGTAAAATGTTACCCTTCAACCAGAAAATTAGAAATAATAGGAAGATTTTTTTTCTGAGGAAAAGTAATTTTAAACGTTGCTTCCTTCCAGAAAGAGAGAATTCTCATATCTGAAAACTACTGGGAATTTGACTGCCAGTGCAAACTATAAGGTTTAAAATCCCTAATTCAAATGTCATCTCACTTATGAACTTTCCAGCCCTAAGAAGTACCCTTTCTCTATCTTCCTACAGCCCAAGAAGTTCTTTTTAAGTGAAGTTAAAAATAACCCATGGTAAAGCATACATTTTACTTTCCCCTCCCCAGGTTTGACAAAAAGTTTGATGTGAATTATCAAATAATTTTAAAAAGCAAAGCTAAATCAGCCTGAGATACTAAAAAGTACTAACGGTATATTATTTTGACCTACACAATTTGGCTTCTTAAACCTTAAATTTAATAAATAATAAACATAGTAGCTCTGAATTTTATAGAAGCTGAAAGAAGAAAATAAAAGTACAATATAAAAGTCCATTTAATCATCCCAATAAAGTGACATATAAAATTATCTAATTGGACAAAATTAATCATGTATGACAGCTTAAGGAAAATGAAGAGATTAGCAGATATGGACAAGCACAGATAAAGTGAAAATGAAATATTTTATTGCAAAAATATAGTAGCAGCTTTCTTTCCATGCCTTAAGTATAACTATTTTAATTTTTTTCAAATACACTAGAACAAACGCTCTGGGAAATACCTTTATTTAAAGTGGTGCTAAAACACCATAATAATATTTAAAGTGTAAATGTAATGAACATACTTCAACTAATGAAGAAATAATCTACAATTTATTTGATTTAATATTTCCATTTAAAATCCTCCCCTAGAAATTGATTGTCACAATATACTTCTTCAGCCTAATGACTGGAAAAGGGATTTTCTGTAGATATATTTTTGTTTAAATGCTGCCACCTGGTGGAATAGACCTCTACTTGACTGTCAGGGAGAAGGATTGAATTAAACCAGTTTTTACTCTATTTGGAAACTGCTAGGTTTGCTAGAACCCGAACACTCAGAATTCAGAGCCCCAGGACATTTAGAGGGTTACCATGTTAGGAAAGACTGTCTTATGGTATCAGAAATAATTTAACTTGGATAAAACCCTTATGTGCATATCTTCTACGTTCATATTCTGTCATAATATAGTCACTTCAAAGTTAATTTTAAAATGCAGTTAAATCTCAATAAGAAAAAGAGATAATGCACTGCAAATATATTAAATTTTGCTACAATTACTCTGCTTGTTACTGAATCTTTCCTTGAGACGTTTCTAAATCTTTTGCAGATTTTCATTGCACCAATTAAATAGGATCACAACCAGTGGTGGGATTCAAATTTTTTTACTACCGGTTCTGTGGGTGTGGCTTGGTGGGTGTGGCAGGAGAAGGATACTGTAAAATCTCCAGTCAGAGGTGGGATTTGCCAGTTCTCCGAACTATTCAAAATTTCCACTACCGGTTCTCCAGAATTGGTCAGAACCTGCTGAATTCCTCCTCTGATTACAAGCCTTTGAGACGGGGTTATTTTGGGGGGTGGTTTGGGCGTACTAGGACAGTAATTAAAATTCTTCTGGTATCATTAAAATGGATAGCATAAAATAGAACCAAGCAAATGAGAATTACATTGGTTTCTTCATCTAAAAATTTACCTTCGTTATTTCTTCAGCAGTTCTTTCAAAACCCTGGACGTCACGACAATACAATCCTATGGTGCAACTCGGATCCATTTTTTTAAATGACATCTTCTTTGGAGAAGGGCAATGGAAAGACTGCATATAATATTTTCAAATGGTTAATAAGCATCAGAGAAAAGGCCTACGATGCAAATGTTCCTGAGTAGTTATCAAATATCTACATGCAACAGATGAAGGTTAGGCTTTCAACAGGAAAAATAAATTACGCTATCATAACCGTCATTTGCTTCTCAAATAATATTTCAGCCACCAACAATGTGGCATAACACTGAGGTGGGGGAACAAACACATTGGCAGAATTATTCAGACAAGTGTGTTTTGCTTCATTCCCGCCCCCCCCATTTTTATTTTATTATTCAATCCCCATATAAATGTGCAAATTTTGTTATATTATTATTCATAGAGAGCATTAAAAGATTTGGTAAAAGATATTTAAGTCCAACCCTCATATTCTCCTCTCTATAAAAGGGGGAAAGGACTTCGGAGATCTTTTGGCTTTCTGAATGAAACCAACACGCAAAAAGCTGATGGCGGGCAAGTGGTGGTAGAGGCGGACTGGAAGACTTCACTTTGAAATCCCAGAGAGATTCAGCCAAACAGTAAAGATAGTATTGAATTAGAATACCAAACTAAAAGCACATCAGCCAGCAAAGATTTCTTAATGGAATGGCAAATTTCCTAATGGACATTTTGAGAAATTGTTTTTGAGCCGCTATTAATTACCTTTAATTGGAAAACAGAAATTTAAGCAACAAATTAATATAATAAGAGAAATCAGTATATACAGACATTACATAAATTAGTTTCTCAATGTTCTCAATGTACAATATTACTTTATTAGTATGTAGTAATAATTGAGACTAATTGATACGCTTTTTGGATCAACCACTTAACATAGTGCGTAAACAACTGAAAAATTATATTAATGAGCTTTCTTATTTTACTTTATTTACTTTCTTATTTTTATATTTTACTTTCCATCTCTATAATGTTCAGTTGCACATAGTACTACAAATCTGCAATACAGAAAACTAAAAAAACATAGAAAACTAGAAAGATATTTGAATATTTTTAGCTGCTTTAGCACTTGTTTCACCACATCATAAAATGTCTGTTTCAGATAAATTTCTTGCACTGAAAAACAAATTATCATTTTGTCTTCATATCTCAAAAGTTCAGATATATTCAAGATAGAAGGTGAGATGATTACAAAATATCCGAAAAACTCAACAGTAAGCAAATTTGATATATCTGATTATTACATTCAAGTAAAAGGCAATTGTGCAATTTAATTCAATGAAGTTTTCTAGTAGAAATATGTAAGCTTGAAAAGCTACAAATAACTGAAGGACTAACTGAAGTTGATCAATGAGACGGATGTCCATTTCTAAGTTTCAAAGAGGGAAGCAGGATTAACCCTAGAACTTCAAATTCACTGCAGAGTATTTAGAACAGCTGGCAACATAATCGGGACAATTCTCTGAGGCATAGTATCAAGGAGATATATCAGCAGCACTGTAAGATCTCAGAGAAGTCCCACATTGGGTCTGAAAAAGTAGCCTTATTAAAAGCCAGCCAGAGTCAAAAGTTCTTATTGCAAAAAATGTGAAGTAGAATCAGAAGCCCTATATTTTCCTGTACAATCTTCACTGTACAGTACAAACACACACACACACACACACATTTTTTCAAAGAACTCAATATATACAAGACACTGAATTTCATCTGCTCATGGTCTGCTCCCATAGGTCAAAGATCTCCACATAACAGAGGCCTGAACATTTAATGTATAACAGATAACCTCAACAACTTAAAGACTAGCCTAGGGGCAATGAATGGAAGCAATATATAAAATCTAGCAATTAATTAGTCAATGATATAGGTTTGATTGGAGGCTTCAGCAGGTAGTCTGCTTGTTTCCTTGCCTCATACTTTCCAGGCTCCTACTGAGCCATCTTTGCATCTGAGAGAAAGAAATAGCTTTCCTATTAGAGTAGTGTCAGCACCTGAAGCATTTGACTTTGGGTTAAACATTTATGAACATAATTGTGTCAAACACCTCTGGAAGACTCTCCTTCCTACGGCAGTGAAATTGGATATCCAACATTTGAAATTCTTCTAACCGCAGCACAGGACAAACTAGCCTGAGGGAGGAAAGTCACAGGACAGAGACTGTGCTGCTAACACAATGGGATCCTTTTAAGATATGGAATTCTCTCAAGTTAAAAATGTGATCCAGGCAACCTCACAAAAACTATGGCAGTGTATTTGATATTATATATAAAAGATCAACATTTGACAGAGGTGGGTTTTTTTTTTTGTTTACTCTAGATCTAAAAGGAACATGAGGAGGAAGGGATGATTTAATAATTAGTGTTTTGTTCATCCATGAAGCAAACACTGCTGTTCTTTATCCATCCTACCTCAAGGGGGAAATCCTTTACGCTGACATCTACAAAAGACTGGCAATAATGAGGATCCATGTAAATCAAGCTGTCATCTACAAGGACAAAACAAAAGACAAGTAATTCAAAAAACACCATATTATTACACTGCTTACAATCCAATTTCTATGCAGAACAGGAGGGGGGTAGAGGTAAGAGTCCCCTCAACAAGTCACTGTCTGCCAGAGTATATTCATTGACTGAGGTTTTTCCAGGACAGATTAACTTCTGCATAATCAAAGATGCTTGTAGAAGCAGAATTTTGATAAAGCGATAAGACTGTCATTTAATTTTTGGAGATGAAATTACTTTTACAAACACACAATTATATACCTTGAGTTTGCATATGAAAAATGCATCGTATTTCCTCATTGTGACAGGAAGAACATATTTGCTTGTCATTTGATCATCAACTTGCACCATTTAAACTACTAAAGGATAAATACATAACTAGGATCTGCCAGGTAAGTAGGCAGGAAAAGGCTCAGAGAGTTTGATGGAAGAGGTAAATTGTGCCTTGTTTGTGCAACAAGGAAAATTAAATATACGTTTTCACAAAATCTAATTATAACATGGGATAAATGACAAATGAGTGGACTTTGTGGGTCTGATAAATTAATAAAGAAATCTCTTAATCATTTTTTTTCTTTCTGTGGGTCTTATAATAACTCCAAAGCTCTTGGAACAGAGATAAAAGAGGGAGAGATATGCCATGTTAAAAAAAAGGATATGTTAAAACACTAACCTTGAAATCCAGCAAAGTAGTATGACTGCTTAGGTTTGCCTCCAATAATGCCAATGCAGTAGTCAAGACTCAAAATTCCCTGTTTCATAAGAGTAGATGAACTGAAATTTAGACTTTTATGATAGGAGATTGCAATGTAACAAGTTTAGACCTTTGGCCTTTGATTTTAGAATGCAAGGTGTTTGCATATCCCTTAGTGCACAAACATGAACTCTTTATTTTTAGCTGATAAAAAATAATAAGGCATTCAATATGCAAATGCTTATGTATAAATAGAATCTTTTACAAACAGGAACAATAAATCCTACATGGATAAGCTCTGGATTGCAGCTTTTCAAATACTGTAAGAAATTATAGAAAACATCCTAGGGTAAGATTGCAAAATAGAGATCTGTTAGCCCAAGAATCAGTGGAGTTCTGGCCCCCATCAGCTATTAATCAAAAAAAGGAGGAAGTTACAGTCCATTTTATCTTTGTAGGCTATAGATGAGAAAGATCTAGCATCTGTTAAATCTGTCTCCACCCTGTCCTCCCATTCTCCTCTTTACCATCTTCATTTCCTTGACTGTTACCTTACGGAATACTAATAAAAAAGTCCATGGCTTTGTTGCAACATCTGTCTGATGTTGTCTTATCTTTTCATCCAGACTTCCGGTTCCTAAAGAACCAAAAGGTTCTTTAGATACGTGCTGTGTTACTTTCCTTTAACAGAATACGTCCACATTTTATTTTAAGAGACTAAAAATCCAAATATTTCAGTTGGCAATTGATTTCTTCCAACTATCCTGACCCTATGGAACAAGTTTTATTAGAATATTAGGTTTTCCTGGTGCTTATAATTATCAAGCAACATATCAACATAGGCAAAATATGCTGTAATTGTGTGACTGTCACAGCTCTCCTTGTCTTACATGATAGCTACTAAATGATAGAAAATACTATAATTTCTTAGATTCAGCCAAATGGCTTCTGTTGTATTTTTCCTGTTACATCTTCAAACAGCATATAAGGCCCTCAATAATGACATGGCTTCTTCTTATATGAGAACGAAAGTGAAGACTATTTTTTCTTTCTTTCGTCCCTGTTTATTTGTTTATTTACAATATTTAAAGCACATCCAAGAATTCTGGACAATGTATGAAAGAGTCATTTCCGATATTAAATACTTCCAATGAGATTCAAAAGCCAAATGCCTGCTGACACAACTTCTATGCTCTCTCTATCCTTAGGCCTCTATTGGTTCGAAGGATTTTTACAGGGCAAGAGTAAATTATTTTTCAAATTCATTTTTAGATCTCTTTTTCAAAGGATAATGGGGCGGGGGGAGGGTTTGCAGGAGAGATAGGAAAGTGTGCAAATAAACTGACAGAAGGATGTGAACTAATAAAGTAAAATATTTGTAGCTCAGAGTTGAAAAGTGTCCTTGGTGCTCTTTGAGCCTGCTTTTTTTCTTCAGACATTTCATTACCCTAACCAGATAACATCATCAATGCTAATAAGGAGTGCTGTTTGCTGTCAGTTTATATTCTGGTGTCTTGCCTGCCTGTGTGGGTAGGAGCAGTCTTAAGAGATTCTTTGGTTGGGGTGTGATGGCTCTTTGGCAGTTTCTTGATTGGGGTATTGTTTACTTGATTGTTGGCCTGAAGTTAACCTTGGAGTTAACCTATGCTGATCTGAGTGCTGATTACTGGTGGAGAGGTGCTGGAGTCTTTTTCTCTTTTGGGCTGGTTGATTGTCTCTTTTGCATAGTCTACAGATGTTAATGTCTATGTGTTTATTGATCACTGATTTTTTTAGAGTGTCAGGCTTCTAGAAATTTCCCGTCATTTTGGGACTTGGCCTGGTCTAGGATTGTCACATTTTCCCAATTGAAACTAGGGTTAAATCTCTCTATATATTGTGAAATTAAAGAATTTTCATCATGTCTTCAGACTGCCAGTTGGGATTCATGGATGAGTTCTGTCAGTCTTCTGCCTGTTGGTCCTACATAGGGGTCGTTGCAGTTCTTACATTGTATGTTGCAGATGGCTCCTGTTTTTTCTTCTGGGGTTACCGGATCTTTTGGTTTACGTGGCTTGTGTGCTAGACAGGGTATGAACTACTGTATTGTAAAGAACTAGACTTAGCTAGCGTGAGGCAAATAATTAAGAAAACCAGATACTCTGGAAGAAGGGTTCAACCCCCTACTATTTTTCCCCACTACAAATAGTTTTCTAACCTAATTTGCTCTCTCTCTCCAAATATTTGGCTCAAGAAGCAAAACACTTCGCGGAACCCCTAATATGAATCTATGTACCTACTAAATTAACACAGTGGTCCTTTATCCTTCGATGGGAAAACCAATTTCAGAGATGGCCTATTGCTGATGTTACTGGGAGTAATAATCTTTACATTTTATGAAAAAAAAAATTGGAAGCTATCTGATCCCTGAAGAAATCGGCCAAAAGTGTGAAACAAGTTCAGTCTTTATGGTGAACTCTACAGCAGAAAGATAGCTATTTAGGGTCCGGGATAGCTGTACTAGCTTACTTTTAATACTTAGGATTTTCAATCTCAGCTGCATACTGAAATTTCAATTATTAATAGGTTAATTACCATTTTCAATCTTCGTGCTATTTAGTGTCCCATTCTGAAAAGTGATTGACTCATTTCATACCTTCACAAACTCAAAGTATTCCATATTGGTCCGTTCACCACCAAGCCTGACAGGAATTAATATAATCACAGATTTGGCACTTGTCTTTCCAGAATCCGTGAAAGGGCAGAGAGCATCAATAACATCGGACTTGTAAACTTAAAAGAGAAACAGAAGAAAGCTTTACTGAAATGCATTTTAAGCGCAAACTAAGTTTTGTCAAAACATCTTATACGGATTAAAAAAAGCAAAAAAAACCATCTTGTCATTTCATTTTATTAGTGTGCATTGATGTGTGAAAACGCAACAAATGCCACCAACCAGTGATGGCTTTGATAGGGGCCTGTACTATGCACATGTGTGTTAAAACTGACAAGATGGCAGATTTCATGAATGAATATAAGCCCATCCCTTTTGTACTTACAATATCAACCCACAAACAAAAGAGACAGGGTCGTTTGGGTTACAACAAAATATCTTACTGATTTTAACTCCCAACCCACATTTTTTTGCAGATACTGCTGGGATTCTGCATTAAACATTTAACCTCCAAAACCAATAGAGTAATTATTGTATGTAGGTAAGAGACTAGCAAAAAAAAATCACTTAACATATTACAAGAAAAAAGAATGAGTCCAAAACGGAGCCAGTGGGTTCAGAAGACCATTTTATGGCAGATTTTAAAGAAACTGAGAACATGCACATCCTGCTAGGCAAATCAGAATATGCATTTCACATTCTTTCAATCACATTTCTTTTCCAAATATTATTTAAAAATGTAGAAGTCCATGCAGCAATTATAATTGTTTAGGATTCTTACGCCCTGCAACATGCTGGTCTGTTCCCCCTCCAGAAGGCAACAAAAAAAAAATTAAATTCCAGGAATGCAGATTCTGAATTTATCCCAATGCATTTCTACATCCCCTTTGACAGATGTCATGAAGGATAGTTAACACTTCATAAAGATTGTAGGTGACACAGGGGTTTGTTCACTAGGAGACGTTCAAGCACAGCTCTGTTTTGAGCTACAATTAGTGCCCAGCTACAATTGGTGCCCTCAGGGTTAGTGGATCAATAAACTCACTGTTAGTGTTTATGCAACATCCCACATTCCACCCACTGACCCAATTAAGTGGCTCATGTGATCCTAATGTACTTTACTTTCCTAAGTAAAATACCAAAAGATTTGCTTTCTTTTCAGTCAAATGCTGAACCAACCATACATTCCTGTTAAATTTATTTAAAATGTTTTAATATGTTTTGAATAGAAAATTCTGTCAGATGTAATTTTGTAATGGCTTGATATAGAAAATTGTAAATAATTTAGTAATACACTTTTCCTTTTGTAGGCTAGGCATATATAAGTCTACAAGACTATAAGTCTGTAAATGTATAATTCTTTAAGAATTAAATAAGATGGAACACTTTCGGTCTAATTTTAAAGAACACCTTATGCCACGAGAAACTATTCATCTAAGAACCTTTGATTCTAATATTATACTTTCAGGCTCTCAATAAATGTTTTTTGAAGCATATAATACTTTCTCTTACCTGTACAGTCTTGAGCAACATAGATGGTTAATCCTTGTAATTCAGGGTCCCTTGCTTTTTCAACTGCTTTCCTAAAAATATACACAAGAGACACATTTCAAGTAAGCCACAAAAAGAATTAAAACTGCACAGTCCTCAGGAAATATTTTCTAGAAAAAGTCACAAGAGTTTAAAAAGCCAGTTTTAAAAGATGACAAATGTAAACACATGCAATTTTGACTGTAAAATATGATAAACACTTTTTTTTAAAAAAAAGGCCAATACATTATTAAATTTATCATGTTGTATTGATATAGGTACAAAGAAACAAAAAGTGGACAGGGTCATAAGATTCACAAGTAGTATCAGAATGTTTGAAAGAAATGCACAAGAATAGGTACTGCTTAATGTTCCGTCTCAAGTAAGATGACTTAAAGTCTTGCTTTTTCCATGATAATCCTGATGTTTTGGAACATCCTTGTTTGAGGCCATCAAAATTATTTGGAGGGCATGTGACCTAAGCTGCCATTGAGGGACAGAAGCATTTTGGTATGTTATAACAAGCCTGTCACTACGCATATGTTTGTTATACTATTTGATATAACAAACAATTCCAAAGAAGCACAATTTTTAACTTTTAACTCTATACCTGAAGACTCAAAACTTGAAGAGGGAAAGAACAGATCTTCAATGAAAAAATGGCCAATTAAATTGTTTCCAAAAGCATATATACCAACTAAGCATGTAAATTATTTACCAAAATGTGGGAGAAAAATTAACAAATTTTTGTTATATATATTTTTTTGTTATATATATGTGTGTGTGTGTGTGTGTGTGTGTGTGTGTGTTGTGGCCCCGATTCCCGAGCCTATGCTGTCAGAGGAAGAAGACCTGGCAGATGAGGAGGAGGAACTGGGAATGCCTTCCTCCCCAGGACCTTCCTCTCTGGCAATGCCTTCCTCCCTGATAATGCCTCAGGTTGCATCAGACAACCGAGAGGAACAGCCTGAGATTAATCAGGAGGAAGGCATATCGGAGCAGCCCCTGACAGGGAGTAAAGAGGAAGAGTGTTGGCTTGATCCTAAGCAGCGTCGTAGGGAGAAATGTGAGCAGCAATGTAGGAGGCCTGGGAGGGTCAGAGACTGAGCTGAGTCTTTGAGCCACACCCCACAGGGGATAAAGGTGGGTGTGTTTTCGGCTGGAACTTTGTACGGGACAAAGTTTAATCTTACTTCAGTTTTTCTTCATGAATGATTTTTGTGGACTGCCTTGTAATTTTCTGTGAGTAGATTTTTATGTTATCAGTTCGGACTTGGCAGGCAGAGGGTGTTGGAATGCCAAGGATATTATCAGTTCCAAAGAATTAACTCTGTGAAGTCCGAGCCAGCTTGCCTGCCTGTGTTTGTGTGAGTTTGTATTCTTTCATCTTTTGGGAAAGAAGAAAAGTGAGACAGAACGTATATATATATATGATTACACCTGGATTTTAGATTATTTTCATTAGGAGACTATGTAAAATTGCAAAGCATAAAACTATAAAAATATTGTCGCAAACAATGGCAACAGAAATTTATACTCAGAAATGTGACTTTCATATAAAGACGAGGCTGAATGTCAGACTTTTACTTTTATTTAGATGTAATTATTACTAAACCTATACACTGAACATCTCACAAGAATTTGATATGTTTAAAACTGATGGTTTCAGTGTTTTTTAAAATCTCTGACAGCTCAGACCAGGGGCCTCCAACCTTGGCAACTTTAAGACTTGTGGACTTCAACGCCCAGAACTGCATCGGGGAGTTGAAGTCCACAAGTCTTAAAGTTGCTAAGGTTGGAGACTCCTGCCTTAGACTATCAGTATATTAAAACAGGAAGTCTACGGTTCTAGTTTTTATAACATATCATTAAAAGATACTGTAGTTAAAAGCTAAGTTTATAATGTATCAGGTTATCTTTCTTGTCTCGAGGCCCCATGGGAACATTTCAGGAATCAGAAATTGAAAGGAATATTGAATTTTTTCATGCTTAATCAGGACCCATTTTTAAAAGTCTACTGTTTTTAACCAAATTTGTTCTGTCAAGAATTTTGTTTTTACCTCAAAAGGTGTGCTACCACTGCTGGCCCATACCAATCTCCAGCTGTTTTTCCAGACTTCCTTCCATATTCTATCAGCCGATGCAAGCCAAAATTGGCAAGTGGTGAATCAGCAAACCAAGATATGATTCTTCGGTGATACTGCTCCTCTATGCTTTCTTCATTTTCCCGGATGCGTATTGGACTTTTAGGGTGATTTGACTGGTTCCTGAATTCTCTTTCTCCTATAAGTGATGTTTCAAGAGATGCTGTGAGCTTTTTTACTGTCTGAGTTGTCCATGATTCAGACTCTGGATTCTCAAAAACAAAGGCATTGGCCCAAGTCCAGTCTGTGATAGGATTAAAAACATATTATATTATAGGTCGGTGAAGATTACAGATTGCTCTGGCATTAACTTATTTAAAAACTTACTACCTCTTTGTTGTCCTGCTTCATATTAAATATTTAAAGTTAGCTATTCCATAAGAAAATGCTGCATATGGGTAATTTAGCAACTCTACAATAAGTATTTCAATTAAACTAAATGCATAAATGTACAATAATATGGAGCTTAAGCAGTGATGGGATGCTGCTGGTTTAACAACTGGTTCGATGAACATGCGCCTAAGGCACTTGCGTAGAGTGCTGAAAATAGAGCATTTAGAAGCTCAACTGCTTACCTTCCATGTCAGCAGCAGTAAGTAGATCTGGGGGGGGGGGGGAATCAGCTGTGCTGCGCGATAATGAACTATAAAGCAGGAAATAAAGGATAGGGCAGGTGTGGGTGGGTGGAGCCAACTGATTGTCGGAACTACCAAACCAGCAGCATCCCAGCACTGACCTTAAGCCAGCAATGTAACAACAGCCGCAAGACATCCATTCAAGAGAAACCATTATGATAATTATTGTCAAATATTTTGTTCTTATAATTTCATATTAACCAAGAAAGTTAACATTATATCTATGATATTGTACTAAGATTTAACTGAAATTAAATGGTTTACATTTAATTTTTTTCAGATAGGCTGTCTGTGCTGGTTAGAAACTCTGATAAGAGAAGCCTCCTCAAATTTAAGATTTATCAAGCATAAACATTTTCTTCCACACAAATCTGAGTAACTTACCTCTACTAAGAAAGTGGAGAATAAGTCCTTGAGCCAGAAGCATTTGGCCAGTCCTCAAAGTACAACCCCAACCACAATCTGTTGTTAAAACTGAACCCTTGATTTGGGGAAATTCTTCCCTGTAAGTCAGCCATATCCTAGAAACAAAGTCTTTACGGAACTCTTCAACATTTCTTGAAAACTTTTCTTCTGTCATGTCATCACAGGAACCATTTGGTGACTGGTCACTGGGCTCTGTAAGAGAGACATCATCTGTAAGAGGTACATGTTGTAAAAGAAGTGAAAACATGAACATATTATCCCCAGCTTATTAACACCGTACATCTTTTTGTAAGAAAAGGTAATTTTCTACAGCTTTAAATAGCATTTACAGACTCAGCCACCGGAAGAAAGATAAAACAAACAGCTTTTGGTAAACAGCAAGGACATGTTCTCTTAGTAGAGTTCAAGGATCTTGTTAAAAGTTACCATATTCTTCTCTTCAGAAGATAAATCAAGACAAAGCACTGCTTTAAGCTGATTATCAAAGCAGTCTTAACCCAACAATTCTTTCATGGGAAAGAACTGTCAAAACAGAAACAGTCTTTTCTCCTGCTCAGAACAGATTCAGACATCAACTTCAGAACTTGTGTATGTTTCCAACTTCTTTTGCAGTCTTTTTTTTTTCCTTCAGGAGGTAAGCATATATCTGAACTGATCTAATACGCAAGTATTTTCAGAAGCTCCCGCAAAAGTAAAATGCAAGGTTTTGTTTTGTAAATGTAAGAACAAAACCAAGAGCCATTCGGATATAAAATTAGGTACACATACCATCGGTCTTGAAATGGTAGCATTTTCCCAGCAAAAATACAGGAGAATTTCTGCTAAAGTAAGTTTTGGTTTTCAGTACCCAGCCTACAAACAAAGACAAACATAGATTTTTTTAAAAAGCTGTTCCATCTAGTAAAAGTAAAAAATAAATCAAGGAAATTAAAAAATAGTAACTTTCTGTTTTAAACTGAAGCACATTCTAGCGTATTTTAAAGATGGGAGCAAAATGAAGGTGTGGGCTTAGTTTTCAAAATATCATAATTAAGCCTCAAACTAACTTAATTCTCTAAACAAGTATTTTTCTTTCATTCTTTAAATCAGTTTCTCTTTTTAAAAAATTACGTTTTAAGATGTTACAATTAACATTTCTTAAAAATCATTATATATCAAAGCAACATTACATGAAAACATACAGGTATCTAATAAAAAGAAATCCCCCCCTAATGCTCACTGTCAAGATAATAGCCACAGAATTAAAACTCAGCCCCTTTTAACATGCAATCATCGAAGCAGGGTATTGATTGTACGAGTACAGGCACCATCATGATTTTTTTTACCCTGTGCCCATCTCAATTACCCAAAAGATGGTTAAAGCACCAGGCTAGAAACTAGGTATCATTTATTATTACAAAGGGCAGTGATATAGGAGAGGAATTTGCAACAAATCACCCCTCCCTCCACAAGTCAACCCTCTAAGGTGACAAATTGTTATTTTACAGTCTGGCAAGAGGCATTGCTGCACAGCAGGTGGTAACACAAAAATGTTTGAGATTGTTCATAAAAATATCAAACACAGCCAGTGTTAGTCTCACGAATATATAAATTGCAATACTTGAGCAACCCGTTAATGGTTAGTAAACAGAGATCTGTGATATCACCAATGCCCAAAGACTACAACCCATGGATCAGTCCCTAGTTAGAAATGATGACTGGCAGATGGTACACCTGAGCAGAAGAGCCTGGCCAGCTCTGAAGATCTTTGATGTGACCAGCCTGACTGTACTTAGTCATTTTAAAGTCCCAGGATTCCATCCATCTATAACCAGAAACTTTAAGAAACATCCAAAACCCACAGCTGTTGAGACTAAATCTGGTTTGATGAATGAGGCCCCAGATGGTATAATAGGCTCACAACCCAGGAGCAGACGCAGTCTTGTCGCAAAAGTTGTTCCAAGTGACAGAAAACACGATTGTGAGGTGCGCATCTTGCATCATGGGTAGTTTTATAAATTTGAAGCATGTGGTTCAAAGTTTCAGGAGCACAGCAGGTGCCTCTGCAGCACTTAATCAACCACCTGATGACAGGTGCCACGCACACTCCTTGACTTGATAGAGAGTAAACTGCCCATCGATTGGATGTCCCATAAATATAAGCGAGGGAGCACCCAGATTGAGTGCAACAACTACTCGTGACTGGCTTTGTACATGTCAGTGATGCTTGACTCTTGGTCGTCGATGGGATTGGGCGACAGCATTCCTCCACTCAGTCCACATTTTTACTTTAGAGATGATGGCAACAGAGTTACCTTGCATGGCTTTATTTGGCTCCCAAGGGAGCAAAATGTGTCTTGTCGCTAGACAACTTGAGCAGTGTGGTGGAACTCAATGAAATTTTTTTCAAGCCGGACCTTCTGTAGAAGCACAGTAGAGGTGGAGAAACAGGGAACTTCCCCCCACCCCAGCTCCCTGTCCTTGACATTGGAACCAAGGTATGCCAAGGGAGTATCCTTTAGTACTCGCAGCCACTGCCTCACTGAGGAATGGACCAAGCAGTCCAGCTTCTTTAAGATGTTATAATGTGCTTGACCAAGAACAAGTTCGTGAATAAATTTTCACACCAAATAAGATTTGCAGCAGCCAAATGTTAGTGCACCTTAAGGGGTGTCTCAGAAATGGCTTGCAACATGCCATCCAAGATGTTGGTATGTTTGGGGATGACTCATCCCTTCCAGTTAAACTGCAGGCCTAGGTATTACATCAAGTGATCCCGGGCCTAGTGGGCGAATGGCGATGCCACAAAGTAATAGGCGGTTGGTATTATAGGGCCATATATATCTGCTTCCTGCCTTTGGGGATCATGAGGTGAAAGGACTTCTTCGCATTCAATGACATACTGGGTGAGTGGATACTTCTAGATACACAGTCCAACATTTCCTGCAGTCTGGTGGATCTCTCTGCCAGAAGAACCAGGTCATTGGCCAAGTTGATCTGCTGGTTATCAAAGTTGAACCCAACGCAAGACAATGAAGCTCACAAGATGTTGTTGATAACCATCATGAGTAGGAGTGGGGATAGAGGAGTGCCTTGACATACACCCCTTTCACATTTGATGGAAGAATCTGCAAGCTGCCCCATAGAACACTGATACAGATTCTTCAGATATAGGTTCAGTGGAGAAGGTAGACCTGCAGTGGAGGTAACTGTGCTGACTCAGGTCGTATAGGTAGATGAAGGCACCAATAAAGTCTTTTACTGCACTGCTAAACAAGACAAACGGGCCCTCCAGAGGTGTTGGTAAAACTCTACTCTTCATCACAAACAACCGCCACCAATCAATGTAACTTAGTCCCACCAGATGAGTCCAAGAGCTACCAGAACCAAGCCCCCAAACAGGAAGTCAAAGCCCACAAATCCAGTGCAGAGTTGCAAAACAAGGTCCATAAGTCACAATCCAGTCAGTCTACAAAGCAGGGTATGCAAATCCAGAGGCATGAGCGCCAAGACAATTAGTTATTTCCAATGAATGCACCCTCCCTCAGCCTCTGATTAAATCATCCTGAGCCAGTTGTTTACTGTGAAGAGGGATGGAACAGCGTCCTTATGGGCTGCCTTGCAGACCTCCTCTGAGCTTCCTTCCACTCCACTCTCAGCATCTGTGGATAGGGTGGCAGCAAAGATTTTCATCACTGCCTGTCTGCAGCTGAATCTCCCCTGCATTCATGAAGGCAGGCAGCTCCCCATCTGATCAACCACTTCCCCTCCCCCAGCCCTAGAAGTTCCAGGGGAGTGTACAATCCCTGTTGGATGGTCCCAGTTCTGATTCCTCCTCTTCCTCCGAACCAGGATCTGATGGGGCCATGACAGTGATACAGAAGTGCATCTGATGGGACATGGTGTTAAATGCCTTGGTGACATTTAAATATAACATTGCACAAGGGACCTGGTTGGTAGGGACCCTCCCCAAAAAATAGAATGTAGCAAGATCATTGCCTCGAGACAGACACTCCTCTTTAAGAAAGCAGGCTGGAAAGAGGAGAACTTAAGCTTGTAATAAAAGTTCTAAGCAAGACTCTTGTGAAGAGTGCGAAGAATGGTCGAAGCAATCAAGAGTTGATAATCTCCTGGAGTTAATGGGTTTTACGTCTTTGACAGAAAAACCACCTGAGAGCAAGCCAAATGTGCAAGCAGACCATCAACTGCCAATAGCAAGTTGAAATAACTGCTAGTCAAGGCTGGTCAGGAGATCAGAAGCAGAAATACGTTTCAGGCCAAGTGTAGTGGACTTCCTAGACAGCAAAGTCATGGTGACTTCTAACAGAGAAATAACTTCCAGGAGTGACCACAAAAATGCAGATGTTTGTGCCGGTTGAACATCATTGATTGTTCTAGGCAACTAAAAAACTGCTGATCAATGTTTGTTCATCTCAGGTGGTACAGATGGACCGCAACTGTGCAATAATGTTCTTCCAGCACCCAGAAAACATGGCAGCAGCATCTTTTCTTTGGACCTCATAGAAACACTGGATGATAGCATAATTTGTCCTACAGGCATCATCTTGATTTTTTTTATCCCTATTTGTGTCTCTTACAATCAGGAAGTGGCTAAGGCACCAGAGTAGAAACTAGGAGACTGAATTCTAGTCCTGCCTTAGGCATGAAAAACCAGCTGGGTGACTTTGGGCCACCAGTCTCTCTCAGCCCAACTCACCTCACAGTATTGTTGTGGGGAAAATAGTAGAAGTATGAGATATATTTGCTGCCTTGAGTCCTTTACAAAAAATAATAAAGGCAGGATAAAAAAAGACAAATAATATTTCAACATGGAGGGAACTACTCAAGGGAAAAATACTTTTAAAAAGCAAAACAAAAAGAAGAAAAACATAAAAGACCAAATAGATTTTAAAAGCCTGTTGGGGGAAAATCTTTAACTGAGCAACTAAACAAAAATAATCAACCCATACAAAAACACCATTAACAAATATGTCAGACAGTTGGAGTGTCAAGGTTATATTTTGCTGTTTTTACTTCCTTGTTATGATTCAAATTTTAAACAGTGTATTCAGACTAGAACAGAGAATCGTATTGTCTGGTCTCATCTGTTCTTCAATACAAAGCTAATTCAAAGTCTGAAAGCTGACAAATTTCATTAAAACAACTTTTATAGTTTGGCACACAAGATTTATTTCAGGAGTAGATAGTCACCTTTTTCTAACAGTCCAATATATCAAAAGTTCTTTCCAAATCAAGATGTTCCACCTTTCTAGTATATAATTTACTATTTTACTTGTCTTATAGATGCCTGCCAATTTCCTCGTTCATTATAATAACAACATCTAACTAATAAAAAATTGCAATAGACACACCTATAACATGGCTAGCAAACTTCCTTCAAATTTATTACATCTTTGGCATAGAAAACATGACAGTCATCCTTTAAAAACATTCTTGGATTAGTTATTTATTAAATTTGTATGTTGCCCATCAAACAACTCTGTAATATTTTAAATTTATGCCACTAATAAACAGTTTATTTAATCCAAGTAAATAAATTTTCCACTACCTTCAATGCCTTCATAATTTCAGAGACTAGCTCCTAGCATTAATTTCAATACTAAACTAACTGTAATTAAAAGTAGAACTGAAATATATTTAGTCACTTGGCTGCTTACGAGTTCATTCAAAATTAAATCATGCAGCCTAAAAGGTCTGAAATTGATTATTTTTTTCCCTCATTATCTCTTCAGAACAAATTTCTTTTCCTTTTCTTATTGATGTGTTTCACTTGAACCAGCAATACCTTAGCCAGAGTTGGCAGTCATTTGAGTAAATATATTAATGGTCAGCAAAAGCTAGCCTGCATTATTTTCTAACTTTTAAAAGTAATGCTTTAACAGTCTATTACATTTCACTTACCATATTTCATATTATTCCATGCAGATATAAACTTTGATTTTATTTTCTCTACTTCATCTGTCCCAGTGGCCTCCATATTCAGATTTATGATGAATAGCCATCACTCTCTCAAGGACCTTGATGATTTTGTTCCTGCAAAAGGAAAGGAGTAATCCCAGCCATTGTTACTCAGGACAGAACTGGATGCTTGTGTTATTAGGTACTTACATCCATTATGACCAGGAAAAGAAATAAAATCTCAAGAACATCCATTTGCATACAGAAAAGCAATTGTAAGTTCTATGAATAAATAATAAAAAACATTTGATTCCAAATATACAACGGTAACATTATCCTGCAAAGCTAAATAAAACATAATGTCCTCCAACTGCTTTCTACTCCACAATAAACTATCCGGCAAGCGTGTACATGTGGTTGTGCAACTGAGATCATCTAAAGGCTAATTGGAAGGCAGAGGAAAATATTTGAATTGCTGTACAAGGGACACCGTTTTATATTATGTCTATTCAGTTCACAGCAAAACTCAAGGCTTATCAATATTAATGCTCTATTTTAAAAAGCTGGGTTCTATCCCAATCCAAATTGCATGAAGCAGAAAAGATGCAAATAAAAAGAGCGTGCTTAAAAAAGTAAGAAACACAAAGAAAGATAAAGAAACATTTTGTTGTGTAAGATTAACCCAAAACAGCTTTAAGAGAATGAAAATTACCACACATCCAGATATGTTATTTAATGTATCTGGATTAGCCTTTCTACTTTGCCAAGTTATCTTTCAATCCAAATATTTACCAAACTGATATGACTTTTTCTAAAGACCTTTTGCTAAGGCACAGGAATTGTCTTTTACTCAAATCATCTTGTATGAAAACCATGAAGTGCATCAGCACCTTTTAAAAAACACCAAAAAAAACCCCATATCACAAGTTATATTTACACAGCTGTGGGGGGGATCGACTTTTGCATAAACGGAATCAGTTGCCATAGCCTAGTGATTTTGTTGTATTAATAGCAGATAACCACTTCTCTCTCTACTGAGGTTTTTGTCTTTTTCAGATCAAAGGACATCGCTTCATCGCTGGTCTGCAAGTCAGCAACCTGAGAAATTCTTCCTGTTTATTTTCAGGGATGTCACGTAGCCTTAAGTGATCTTGTGCAGAAACTTTCCTTTTCCCTACCAATTTAAATGTTTCCCGTTCCATGTACTTTATTGTAGAAAATGTTGCAGGATTGATACCTGATTTCACCATTCCTAAGATGGGTTCAAGCCTAATGTTTCCAATTGTTCAAAACATGCCTGGAGAACTCTTAATAAGTCTTGAATAGCCAAGCAAAACTCTTCAATTCTCGTATTTCCAGGAGCAGATTCCTCAGCTAAACTGTCCAATGTCCAAACCTGGAATTGGAGAAAGTAATCCAAGATGACCTTTTATCAGGTTTACTTATTTGATTGCTAGGTTAGTTTACTCATAGTGATTAATTCTTATATACTCTTTAAATATAATTTTCTTTATGTCTCACAGAATTCTACAATCAACCATTTTGGACTTAGCTATTAAGTCAAACTGATGGTATAAATCCAGTGATAAAAAATCCTATCTAGTGTGTGTTACCTGCACTGCTTTATACAAGAATTTATCAACTGATGCCTTCCAATTTTTCTCTCAAAGCAATATACAATATGTATGAGATCTGTAATATGCAAGCAATAGTTTTGGAGTTAAGCAGATCATACATAAAGTAATCTATATGGAAACTCAACAGAAGTGAGTTTGAAAATCAGTCTGTAGGTTGACACCAAAGGCAATTAATTCAATTTGATTTTTATGGAGGGCTGCATGCTTTTTGTTAAAAAAAAATTAAGATATCCACCTTCAAAAAGGAGAAAGAGCACTTAGTATGAGAGAAGACAAAACTTGAATTAGAATTTATTAGCCTATAATCTTATATACATTTCCTTGGAAATTAAGTACTGTTGGATTCAGTAAAGTTATCTTGGAAAACACAAGTATGCAGTGTTTATCATTACATTGATTACTGCAGTGCATTCTTTTTAACTTGAGAGTAGCCATTACTATTGCCCTGAAGCTTCATAATTATTTTTAACTTTCCCTTTGCATAAGCACATTTTGTCCAATGTATATAATAATCATGCCATTTAAGATACAATATATACAATTGTAGAGTGAATACAGAAAAAAATTGAAATGCTAATTCACTTTTGGGTTCAAATAATGGAGGATTTAAGGGAAATATATAGTAGAGACTGAATGTGGACTTGTCAGGCCTGATTCATTCTCTTTCAAGCTCCTGCAATGAAAGTCAATAGAGCAAGAAAAAGAGAAGCAGATCTAATATGCAATCAACAGGAATTAATGTTGAAAATCCCAACTAATCTTATATTCATTGTACTCTGTGATTCTTTGTTTCGTTCCTATTAATACAAGGTCCAGAGAAGATGAGAACTTGCAAACTATTACAAATCTAATGGTTCCACTTCTCCAAAAGATTGAAGCAAAGTTTGTGGGAATTATTTTTTTACACATTCAAACATACACATACTGAGCTTTTACAACTATTCCATTCTTTGTGAATCCATTTATCAGGGAAGAAAGAAGACAATACAAGGTATATATAGATCCAAAAAAGGAAAGGGTTATTGAAAGGGTTATTCAATATCAGGATTTTAAAAAAATCAAACTAAGTAGACCGTGCCACTTCTGTCCAAATTTATAGAATGCTGTCAAAAGGATTTTAAAAGCTATTGCTTTGATTTGAGGGCTAGATGTTCATGCCCAAAGGCAATAAATTCATAGCATTTAGCAGAATATGAAGAAAAACTACTGCGTCCCACTAGTATTGTGCCAAACAAGCATTCTAAAGGAGATCGAGATACTTCCCATTTTCAAAACGCATTTAAGACAAAAAACCCACACCGAATGGATTTTCCCCAGTTTCAGATTGAAATTCATTCCTGGAATTACTGCCCTGTAATTTCCAAACCCTATCATCTTTGCAGAAAAATCAGAATAAACTTCGATTTCAATTTCAACTGAATTCAATTTCAATTGAATTTAATTCATACATAGACACCACCTCCGAGTTAAACCCGTTCACACACGGACTCCTTCGCCTTTGCTCCATTGCTACCCGCTGTCCCCAACCAAGTCTCCAGATGATCAAAACTTCTATTTCAAACCCCTTGACTTGCAGAATAAAAGCGATTTTTAAAAAACTATTTTAGACGACTTTCGGCACACTTTAAAAAGCCAACATTTCAGACCTTTCCTGAATAAGGAAAACTTTTCCCTTGCTTTTTTCCCCTGCAGAAATTTCAGAGATCCACTCTCTCCATCCGACCCCACGATCTCGGATTATTATTATTATTATTATTATTCACCTTTTGCAAAAGTCTTCCACGCACTGGGAGCCTCGCTCGGGGTTCGGAATCGATTGTTTCCTCCCCGAAGAGAACTTGAAGAATCAAAGCGTTCGATCCCACCCCAGTCGCCTTCACCCAGGACACAGGAGCTAGATTAAAGCGAGGGAGATACCTCCCGCCCACCAAAAGGGGAGAAGAAAAACTGTTTCGACTTACCACCGATTCTTTTGATCCACTCCGGCTCCCGTTATTTATCCACCCCCCTCAAAGGCCCCGCTTCCGGAAAGGGAAACGAAATTTGCATGCTCAAATAGTACAGTACGCTGTACTATCGACTGGGGGAATCCGACATTGCGGCCGTCTCATTTGATACCGAGGCATGGACTCCATGTCCCAGAAAGCATTGCTCTTTAGGCGGAAGCGGACCCTCGGGGAAGAATTGCTGTTTGGGAAATGTAGGCTTCCAGCTTAGAAAAGTTGCAATGTTGGGAATCCGAGGAAATGGCAGTTGAGAAATCTAGTTTTTCATAGTTTATGCAACCCGCTGGGTTTTCGGATTAAGGGTTTCTAGTCGATTCTACATTGCCATCAATTAAACAAATTCTAACCTTCTCTTTTAATAGGTTGAAGATGAGCATTATCATGATAAATCAAAGACCATTTCTATGCAGCATTAGTTACAATATAACTGTGGGTAATTTAGTTTAATAGATATACACCCTTGGCAGAAATTAGATTCCTGAATGATGTTACAATTAAACTGAATAAGGCATGCAAAAAACTGCAGTGGTAGTTTATAACTATAAATTATAAATAAGTAGGGGGCGTACATAAGCGCACCAATCGGTCCCTGTCCTATTGTTTCTTTTTATTTTTCTCATATGTATCCATCTCATGTATTCATAACTATGTTTATACTTATACCTGTTATCTTGTAAGCGATTGACAAATCAAATAAATAAATAAAAATAAAAACTTGCCAGTTACCAGATTTAGCAGACAATATACATTACCTTAAACACAGGTGAAAATGTGGTTTCTCTGCCTTGAATAATCTTGAATATAAACTTTTCAAAGGAATACATTTAGCACATTTTAATAGTTGCCAGTAGATGGCTCTGTTAATATAATGTCTGGATAATTTACGTTATGTCTGTATTTTTTTCTTGCCATAATGTATTATTTGATTTACCTTTTACCTTTTTTGTACAGAATTCAAGGTGACATATACAGTACTTCTTCCTCCTATTATTTGCCACAACAATTATATGAGGTACTTTCTAAAGTAAAAGTAATCTGTCAGCTTCATCTGCATTATTTGAAAACCATGGCCTAAAAATGGTGCACATAAGCTATAATGTAGTTGTTATTGTTCCGACCAGCATATGTACATGCATTTATAAATGTCCCAATAAAATCCCTTCCATGATAAACCATGTCTACTTCTACTGTGGTTCAAATTGTCATTCTGTTATTTTTCTTATTGTATTTATTAAATTTGTCTTTTAACTGTCTCTGCATTCCATTTTGTATTGTGAGCTGTCCAGGGTTGATTTGGAATTGAGTGCAGTCAAAATCAAATTAAATACCTGAACTGAGCTTTACATCCACTATTTGTCTTGTATTAGGTACCCATTGAATATTGATAATTGCTCTAAATTAATAAGTTCATAGGCACACAGAGGCAGTATCACACCAAATTCTAATATAAATTCTTTGATTTTGGTTTATCATATTGCCATTAAATAGCTTGTTGGTGAACTCCATCAGAAGACGATGCATACTGATTTCACGTTTGAGTTTATGTAAATAAATGTATAACACCATATAAGGTGTTATATATTTGCATACTTGAAATACCGCATTGTGATTGGTCTGTCAATGCTACCTTTTGATTGGTCCTAAATACTGCCTTTGATTGGTCTGTCTTGAATACTTGTAATCCTGTCTTTTAATTGGTCCGTCTGACGGCGGGAATTTTAAGGAGCCATCATTGGCCACGAGCCACGAGCAGCCGCTATAAAAGAGGCTGCCGCGGCTCCGGTTTTGTTGAAGTTACTGAGAGCAAATAAAGAGCTGAAGTCACACTGGTCTCGAGTCAGGTCTTTTCCTGCGACAGAACATAAGGGATCACTTAGTTTAGTTTTGTTCAGTTTATCAAGTTCCAGCCCTTGCTCCATACAATAACCAAAAATAAAGCATCCCCAGCAGATTCAATGTGAAGGGATGCATTATTCTTTTGTTAGATTTTTTTCATATCATTTGGTAAAATTTGATGTCCTGTAATTTACATTTATTATTTTTTGTTCTGTAAATATAGGCAACATACTTATAATCTTCTGATGTGTGATGTCTGTTCAGATATTTGAAGAGTGATATCGTGTATCTTCTCTTCTTAGGCTAGCCATGCCTAATTATTTGAATATCTTTTACAGTATTGGATTTAGTTCCTAGTTACTGGTCATCATCACTTATCTTCTCTAAATCTGATATAGTTTGTCTAAATCCTTGAAGTGTGTCCCCAAAGCTGAACATAGTATTCAATATGGAGTCTACCCATCACAGAATGAAATGGAATTATGTTCTGTAATGTGGAAAAATATACATCTATTAATAAGTCTAAATACTACTGTTAGCAAAGCTAGTATCCCTCTTTCCATTTTGTGTCTATTCATTTGATTTCTTTTTCCCAAATAAATGGCTTTGGATTTGTTCCTCTTAAATGTAATATATTCTTTTTAGCCTATTCTACCATATCAAGATTCTTTTGAAGTTTTTATTCTTGTCTCTCAAATATTACAAATTCATTTTTGTGACCTTTGCCTATTTGCTATGCATTTCTTCATATCTTCATCCAAGTCATTAAGAAAAGTGTGGCAGTGGTGAAGCCCAGCACTGAAACTAATTTGCACTCCACTTGAAACCACTCTCTGGTTTAATGCTCTTTGATTATAATGGTCAAGCCAATTTGTTTCAGTTCTCTAGGCAACACACTTCAGAACATGGGTGTCAAACTCATGGTGTCACATTGTCGTCACATGAAGTTTTGTGACGTTTTTCCCATTTGCAGAACTGGGGTGGCCATGGTCTGTATGTGATGCATCCGGCCTGCAGCCGCCAGTTTGACACCTCTGCTTCAAAGTCATATATTTCCTGACTTATTTACTGCATTAAAGAGATATTAAACATTGAGGAACATCACACTATGTATTCTTAATTCCTTATAGCAAGTCATTCATTTTCCATAGTATGCAAGATTTTAATTTTTTTCTGACACACCAAAAGTACTTAATGTGCCTACAATATTCTCATGTAGCTACTTGTGAAGAATTCACTCTTATTTTGAGAACTGAAGTTTCTTGGATGAGAAGCGAAACATTTTCAAGGAAAAAAACAGAGTCCAGTTGCCTTTTGAAAAGCACCTTTGGGACACTCTTATTTTGATGAGTGAAACGCCTGAGTTTTTAAATTCAGCACATTTTACTCAGTGGCCATTTATTCTGAGCTAAGAATTACATTTTTAATGTGTCCTATAATGTCTCCATGTCAATTATGCGTAGCACAGTAATTTGTTTAAATAGTTTTGTTACAGCCATCTACCCAAAGGCACCTTAGGGAGACATCCAATAACACATATATTTAAAATGAAGTAATAACAGCAGCATGACCAAAAGAAAAACACTCCAGAGCAATATCTGAGCAAGGAAATTTATCCATCAGAAGATAATCTACAATACTTCATGCACTTACTATATAAATTAATATTAGCATTGACATATATTGTATGCATAAGTGCTGTATATATGATGTATCTGATTGAGTCAACAATGTAGGTATTGAAATAAATATTTGTTCCTATTGTGTGGTTACAAAATATTTTCAAGGATCAGACAAAAAAATATTTGCATATTATTTCCCAATCAGTCACACACTAAGTTTCTTCTTTGTGAAATATAGCTAATACAGCTGCTTTCATATGTATTTTTCTGGAATGCCTATCAGGGCTTGCTGTATCTAGTAAGAATTTGCATTTCTTCACATCCATGCATGACCACATACCCCCTCCCCTTTTGTATTATGGCATATCATAGTAACTATGTCTCAAGGGAAGTACACAAATGTTGATCATTAGCTGCAAGCCATTTCCTCAATCTTTGGACAATGACAGATGAAAGGTGTTAATACTAATAACTGTAGTCATAGGAAATGAATGGCCAGGAGTTGATTGTTCAGAAGCTTCCTGTACATGAGGTAAAATAGCTCTTTTTGTAACAGAGTAACCATCTGTCATCTTCTGCACAAAATAGTTATACTGTACACAAGAGCCATAGTGGCACAGTGATTAGAATGCAGTATTGCAGGCTAACTCTGCCAACTGCCACAGTTCAATTCTAACCAGCTCCAAGTTGACTCGGCCTTCCATCCTTCTGAGGTCAGTAAAACGAGGACCCAGATTGTTGGGGGCAATATGCTCACTCTGTAAAGTGCTTAGAGAGGGCTGTAAAGCACTGTGAAGCAGTTTATAAAGCTAATTGCTATTGCTTTATTATGCTTAACTATTATGCATAGTTAAGTACAATTCTCTTTAACTAACCTTCCCTTCATATAAACTGGTTACCCATCCTGTACTGTTAGCTTGAACAGCCCTGGCACGAGATCAGTGCTCAGTTCAATAAATCTCAATTTTATTCAATAAATTATTTATTAGAAATATGTTGATTCATATAGCAGAAGAGATCTCCCGTCAGGACATGTGAATTTTGGCAGAAGCCAGACCTTTGATTCTGCATCTACACTCCCACAAGTCTTTCCTTGTGTTAATCGGCTTGGCGCTCCTTGGAACATGTCCAGGTTCTCTTTATATCATAAATCTTTTGTAAGTTTCAGGAAATTTCGTTTACAAACAACACAGTGTTCTATTAGAGACTTTAGTGTTGCTGTTACTTCCTTCTTGACAGCTTAGTGTCTTATTATCAGCTATTTTCAGTTTCCCATCCCATTTATCCTCCACACAGTTCTTTTGTTTGCAATGTTGTGACATCACCTTCTGCTTGCTGTAAATTTTCCCACTTAGGCCCCATAATGCTTACATGGTATTAAATTGGAATCAGTGAATATGGATGTTATGGTAATAGCAATCAATGGCTCTGGTGCAAAACTAGCAATACGAATACAAGTATATATTATGCAGATGATTCATTCAATTGTTTCAATATTACTCAGCAGGCAATCTAAAGGATATCTGGGATTTATCAGCAGCAGTGAGTTTTATTACATGAAGTCTATAGATTCGGGTCTTTGGCTATTTTATCTTGCACACAGCAAAATAATTGGTACATTTGTCACATACACCCCTCCCCAAATATCTACCTCTTGTTCATTCACAAAGA